CACCAAATTTACTAACCAATTCCAGCCACTCACTCTGTCATGTACTTTTGGCAGCTGTTTTCAGCCTTGATAACTTTGCTCAATGTCTTTATTCCTGATTCCTTCTTCAGCAACCTACAGACATCTAAGCCCATATGAATCCTCTAAATTACTCATTCAAAATAGTCATGTCATGTCACTTTGACCTCCGAAATGAGTCATTTCCCTGTTCTGGCCTTGTTCATCTTTTCTAGAGTTTATGAAACACTGTCTTTCCAGCCACATTCCTGCAGTGCTGGACACAACATTCATGTAAACTCACCCCTCCATTCCAGTCTTCCTAAAACTAAAATCTGAGTATGCCGTTCTCCTCTCTAAACCCTCCCTACCCTCCTCAGATTGGCCTACATTCAATCAATCTTGCTTTTTATGCATTTTTTTTTTACCTCATTCTATCCTTCCACAATCATGTCTGTGTGCCAGTACAAGCGCTCAACTTTACAGTGACTTAGAACTAGCTCTAATCCATCAGAAGCTTCGTTCAACTTTAAGTCTCTAGGTCTTCATTCTCTGTCATATTCTATCCTTTTAGGATTTACTTAGGATGTTTCCTTCTGGGTATAAAACTTCTTCTAATCCTCTCTGCCTTCTTTTCCCCTCTAATTTTTGGGGTTATTGTGTTCTCCTTTCACACTTTGTGCCTATATCACACTTACTTTAATTCATGTCTGTCTCCTTCATTGAGCTGTGAACTCCTTAAGAACAAAAGACCATGCCTAATTCTTTTTTGAATGCTTGGCACCAGTTTGGCACTGTTAGTTTAAAGGATGAAGGCATAAAAAAAGAATAAATAGAGCTTATCTCAGTGCTTCCCTATCATCCACTCTATTCCTCTCTTCTCCCCCAAATCCTGTTTGCCTCTTCCTTTGTGCAACTGGAATGCTGGTGCCTTGCAGAGAGCTCCACTCCTTTCAGCTTCTCACCTCAGCCAAAACTTTGTTGGATGATGACATCATCCACCAACTTACAATCAATTCACACTTATTCTTTATCTATATCCAACCAATCTTCTTTTTCATCATTTCTGCCATCTTCTGGGTTCAGAATAGTGCCTTTTCTCTGCACTCCAACACTTACTCTTTTTAGCATTTCATCATATAACATCTCATTGACTTTTACTTACCTGTTACCCAAATAAACCATGGTCCTCTTGAAAGGAAGGGTAATACCTAATTTACTCAAGATTTCCAATGACTTGCACAGGTCTTGGTGCTCAGTAATTGCCTTTTCAGACTGGTTCAAATATTCATTGATTTTTGTTTTCTCTGTGAAATTTTGACAAATGGTCAGTCATCCAGATGCACTTGAACACTTCCTATAATGGAAAGCTGTTTCTTGAGTTCTTTAGAACACTTGATGATAAAATTACCTTTTTAAAACCTTAATCTCAATCTTTGTGACTTTTTCCAAGGTTCTATCTTTGGCCTTTGTAATAATAATAAGACAGGAGTCTACTTTTTTTTTTTTGCCCTCAGATATACCCAAAGGCTTCATTCAAAATTCTGTTAAGCCTATGCTTTTCAAACTGCATTGTTTATCTAAATTATCTTGCAATCTTGTTAAAATGCAGATTCTGATTCAGGTTCTGCATTTGTAAGCAACTCTTAAGGTGTTCAAAGGTCACACTTGGGAGTAGCCTCACTCTGGCCTAAAACATTTTTCAGAGGATCAGGTTTCTAGTATCCTCACCAACTTCTTCTGGATAAACTCGTTTGCCAAAAAACTTGTTCAAGTGTTGTGATACATAAAACTTTACCATACTCCACTTGATGTAGTAAAAAGGTGGTTCATTGTAAAGAGTACGGAGTTTCAACGAAGGACATCTGGGCTTGCCACTACCAACTATGTGACACTGAGTCAGAGAAATTAACTTTCCCATCTGTTTTCTTTCAAAATAAAAGTGGGGGGGGGGAGGGACACCCAGTGGTTGTGTCTAGTAGTTAAGAGGATCAGAAGATCATAGAACAGTGCAAGGGAGAATGTTTGCTTTGTGGCTGTTGACCATAGATTTGGGAGCCATGATTTAACTTTTATTGCTACAGTTTAATGTCTACTGATTCTTTTGCCATTTACATCAGAAAGTTGCAAGCTCAACTATCAAATCCCTCAAGTCTTTAATGTAGCTACCCAGTAATACCTAGTAGGTAGGAGGCATTGGGCTATGTATTTTATACCTATTTTCAGAAATTTTCACACACCAAAAATTAACAAAAAAAAAAGTTTTTCTCCTTAAATAACCAAGTCTGGTTGAATGTTACTTTTTTCCCTTTCCTGCTCCCTGTGCACCCATTAGAGAAGATATTCATCAGAGGATATCCTTTTCAGGTAAGGTTAGACTTTACAAAGATCAAAGCATGGAAGCAGCCCTCCCCACACATTCAAAAAGCTAGTGGTCAGATCACAGCAGACAGAGGAGTCATGATTCTGCTATAAAGGTGCTGATAGGGCCCCCTCAGTTTCCAAATTAGCAGAAATTTAGACTAAGTCATTTCATTTTTTTTTTAAAGACTATATTTATTTATTCATGATAGACAGAGAGAGAGAGAGAGAGAGAGAGAGAGAGAGAGAGGCAGAGACATAGGCAGAGGGAGAAGCAGGCTCCATGAAGGGAGACTGACATGGGACTTGATTCCGGGACTCCGGGATCATGCCCTGAGCTGAAAGCAGAGGCCCAGCTGAGCCACCCAGGAGTCCCATAGACTAAGTCATTTCCATACCTGTTCTGAAGGGCCCTAAGGGTTCTTTGGATATGCCAAAGAGGCTGTGGGCCTGGATGGAGGAAGGGAAGGCATTCTTTTAACACACTTGAAAGCACACACTCTAGTAAGGTTGGATCATATTTGTTTAACATATTGTTTCATTTAAGATTTATTTGAAGAAATAATTGTTACTTTGAAAATGTTTGAAAAGCATTTGAACTGTATATTTGTTAAGGCAACTTATGACTCATTCATTCTGTGGAAAATCTTTCTGTAATTAGGTGATTTATTGAATATCAGAAACCATGATGAAGATTGGGAGATAGGCTCTTATTTTTCTTTCTCTAGCCCAGGCTGACCCTGAAAAGCTTTTTCAGTAGACTGGCTTCTGGCAATATGGAGGTAGAATGTTTCAGATAACTAATCTCTATCAACAGGCAGAATCCTACTGAATGCCATGCTTGACTCATTTACCCTAACACCCAGAAACAGCATTCACAAGCATTTAATTTTATTATTTTGGGGATCTGTGTTTCCCAAGGGTATCCTGTATAAAGAGGTTTCAAATGTTCTCATCTACATTTTTAAGAAGAAGAACCATTGTATAAAAAACCTGGAAAAATCTTGCTGGGACTCAGCAATGAACTAGTGATATGTCCCACACACAGATCCCAATTTAGCAGAGAAAAATGTGAAAGTATTTAAGTCCTGAGTAAAAGCAACTTAAATTCCAAAAAGGAGATAAGGTGGCCCCAGTTCATGTCACAATCTTGTGGCTGACTTTGTTACTGGTTTTTTTTTTTTTTTTCACTATTAACTAAACTTTATACTTTATTTGGATATCACCAGTTTTTCCATTATGTCTTCTTTCTTTTCCAGGATGCAGTCCAGGGGTCTGCATTGCATTCTGCTCTCCCAATTCTTCTTTTATCTATGACCTTTCATCATGACCTCCACAGACTGGAGAAGAACTGTTATCTTGCAGAATGGCCCCCATCTAGATGTGTCTGGTGTTTTTCTTATGATTAGACTGGAGATATGGATTTGGGGAAAGAATAGCACAGAGGTGATAGGCTTTTCTCATAACATCATATGGATTACAAGATGACCACAAGTTAAAGTGATGTTAACTTTATCACTTGGTTAGGATAGTGTCTGACAGGCTTCTCTGTCAAGTTACAATAGTTTTCCATACTCTTAATTTTTGGAAAGTAGTCACTAGGTCTAACAACACATCCTCAAGGAGTGAAAAGTTAAACTCTAATTGCCTAGTGGAAAAAGTAATACAATTATTTGGAATTCTTCCCTATGAACAAAACTTACTGTCCTTTGTATCAGTGTATATTCATGGATATTTTATAATTTGAGTCATAATCCAATAATCTGATAACATTTTTTGTTGCTCAACCTATCTAGCTTTGGCATTGGGGGTTAGTTTTTGTTATTTCTAAAATATCAGTTATAAGAAAATCCATCCTAGGTTAATTTCTTCCAATCTAACATTCTCAAACAGTAGGTGATCCATGATGATTTCTCATAACTGTTCTAGTAGTCCTTTCCTGGGTAACTCATTGGAATTTATTCACATTAGTGAGTAATTTAGTGAGTAATTACTCACTCACGCTAGTCTTTTAATCTCAATAGTCTTGTGTTATGATTTTATTGCTTCTCTTTTGATACTGAGGAAAGCTACAGTCCAGTTGAACAAATCAAGTTTATGCTCAGTGGCCCTATTTTTAACCTGTCAGGCTTAGTTTTGCAGTGATTGTTGCACTCCAATAATCCACTTAACAGCACAAAATAAATACATGATTCTCTTTTTTCTGATACAGAAAAACAAAATTTTAGGTAGAAGTCAAATAATGATCAAAAGGGTCATAACTAATAAAAATCTAAGGGTATATTTGCATGTTGAAACTTCTTCCATAGCACATTTGTAAACTTTTGCAAAGTTGTATTTTCAGGTAAGTGTACATACCTGTTATATTTGATATTTTGTTTATGGCTCATTTACTTCTCTCTTGTAGACATCTGCATCATTAATAGGTAGATACCAACATTAACATCTTCCTGAATCTATCATAATGCCAATTTCTCAGGAAAAGGTCCAACTGGCAGGAAAAGGTTACTAATTCTGCTATAATTTTCCACTCAGCCACATTCAAAATGACCATTCATAGTACTTGAAAGTTTGTTTTTTCTCCATACGAATCCAAGATGGCTGCCCTCCAACACAGTGGCTCTTGAAGTACAAAAACTAAATTAAAATGTGTCTACATCGTTTATTTTTTTTAAGTAATTTCAAATACAGTGTCAACATACATTAAAGATATTGTGGCAATTGAGATTAGGAATAACATAAGGTTATTTACATGTTTTATATATGTGTGTATATATACACAAAGTGAAGACAAATACAGAAACACTACAAACAATTCAATATGATAATTTACTGACAATCATTTTCACCATATTTATTAATCTGTCATGTTAGTGGCTACAAAAAATTTCTAGTACTGAAATATAGTATCTAAATATTCAATTTTAACATAAACTATAGTACTTCAAATTTTAACAGTATATAAATAGGATTCTGAATTTTTTAAAAAAAAGTCATCTTCCCTGCCAAACTCCCTATTTAGTTGTAAAGGCTTCAGCTCTTCTCGAAGTCACAGCCCTCAATGTGGTGATATCTCAGATTTTAAGCATAAATCATGTGCAGGCAGTATTCTCTGTAAAAAGGTAAATGAAGATGCAAAGCCATATATAAAAGTTCTAACATGCTACCACGTATAAAACAATGAACACTTTTAATCTAAGAAACTGAATGGATTCAAGGCAAAATTAGGCTACTCTCAACCCTGGAAGGGTAAAGACCAAAGGAAACACTGCTAAGAGATGGTAGATGGTACAAAGGGGAGAAAATGATCATCTAATGAGGTGGTATCAGCACTTTTGGTCTCCACCTCCCTCCATCACTTAAATTCCTATCATAGCCCTGTACATAAACATCTTGGATGTTGAAGGATATTTATGTTTGTAATAACTATAAGTGACCCCTGCCTTTTGGGGCTCCTGAGTAAACACAGAGACCCCATTTCTCCCTCTAGCACCAAGAAATGTTCAACCTCTGAACCTGGCATCTGTCTTGAGGGTCAGAGAGGAAGGGATGACCTATCGGGCTCCCTAACCAATACAACAGCTTCTAAACACTGATCTAGCATACTCAGATCAGTCTTCTGCCAATGGTTCACTGTGAGCACTGTCAACATTCTTATTTGAAATTCCTTATTTAAAGTAGTGGATGTAGCTGCCATAAAAAAATGAAAAATCTTATTTATTGATTTGACCCTTTACAAGTACATGTCACTTATTAGCCAGAGTTCACCTAAGATTACTACCAAGTAGAACTTGCACATTTGAAGCAAGGAGATTTTGGTGGCAACAGAAGGATACAGTGAATATATCAACTAAGACTAGTTGATAAATACCTGGCAGTAAGTTTATAGATCAACAGGAGACAGGTGGGATATAGACTATTCAGGAAGTTTAACTTACTTTGTAAAACATGTTTTGATTTTGGAAGGTAACCAAAAAAGACTGGAACCAAAAGTAAATAGCGATTTCTACCATAACGGGAAACCTTTAGTCAGGTGCAGAATAACTTCTGGACAATAGTAAAGTCTCTTGTTTTTTTCTTTTTACCAAGATTTGGAGCTCTACTCAGTGATGTTATTAGGTCATACATAGTAACGGCTGCAAATTACAAAGGTATTGTAAAAACAAAGAACAAAATCTGACTGTAAATGGTCTTACCGACTTACTTGACTCAGTAAGTCAAAAAAGTTTAATTCAAGTTGGAGTTCTAAATGCTAATTAAGACATCCTGAATACATAACTGAGGGGTATACTACAAATACAGTTGTTTGAAAAAACTCTTCTACACCAGCATCTATAAGTGATATCCTTCTCATATCAGAAATAGACATAGACCTGAAGAATGAGGCTGGGAATAATAGGGTGAATGAGGTTATCACCATAGGATTACGTTGCTAGACTTTTTTTCCTTACAACCTAGTGGATTTTTTTTTTAAACTGGTGGGTTTTTAAAGGGTGTGCCATAATATGTAAAACCAATTATTATAGAATAGGAATAAGCCATTATCTATCTTTATTTTTCCTACTTGGGAACTTGGATAGTTTGAGATTATAAAGTATATATCTTTTTCTCCACCACCCCTGAAAGAGCTAGCTAAGAAGCCATTGTTGAGAAATTTGGTTGCACTCATTCACATTACAAAGCACAGAGAGCCAATACAACTACCCAAACCACTCAAATCAAATAAGAAGAAATGGCACTTCCTCATACTTCATGGTCTTCACAGGAATACAAAGATTGTTTTACTTTTCAGACATTTACACATAGCACAAGAAAAACCTTCAGTTAACTGACTAGTTTCTATAAACTTGGTAGAGTTATGGCATAACAAAAGAGGCACCTTTTAAATATGTAAGTGTACTGTACTTAGGGATATTTTCACATAGTACACAGGATGACTAGCTTAGATTTATCAATCTCTCCCTCATACTGAGTATACCATAAGTAGTATTTAGAGTGTCCACACTGTGCATTCTGAAGGTGTGGATGTAACATATCTTCATATTGCCCCTGAAAAGCTAAGGTTTCATTATTGAAATGTGGTTACAATTTTTAATGTGATCTTGTTTCAATGACTGCCATTATCTAGTGTAATTTATGTACCATGTAATTTAGAGCACGTCTTGATTTTCTCAATGCTCATAACTACCTTATCTGTAGGAAACTTATTTCTAAGGAAAAGCAGCTTTAGTCTGTCTGCAGTTTATGGCCATAACTTGCTTACACATGTAATCAATATGAAGAAAAAGGACCATTCCCATAAATGTTAAAATTGCAAAAGGAAGTACAATTCAAACAAGCACTTATACTTTTGTTTCAGAAAAAGGACCATACTAAGTAATACCACAATAAGTGCCTCACTATGAGAAATGAGGGCTTCACATCCACGTCTTATACAGTAAAACCTTTAACTCCTCACTGATCACAATGGAATTAGCTCTCAGATAACTTAGAGGAAGGAACACTCTGGGCTGTGTGAAAATAAAATGAAGGTTGAAATTTCTCTATGCAGCTCCTGAAGTAGAATTCTGAATCTTTCTTTGGAGTCAAGTTGGTCTTTGGAAGAAAATCAATTTGCCATTAAGAGGTTCTAATCTAGTAGAATGCCAGATGATGGCAAGGGTGTTTAAAAGATGGTGTCATATAAACTAAGGGACTGGTACACTGGAAAAATGACCTTCTGTTCCAGCAGAGGGTAGTCAGGGTGTCAGCAATGCTATTATTACTAGTAAGGGCTACCAAAGATCTAGAGACCAAAAAGCTCTAGCAACACCTGATTATAAAGTATACAAAGTTCAATATCAGAAGGTAAAAAAATAAAATTTCTCAGATTTTTTTCATTTTATTACTAATTTTTACAACGTTAAATATTTTTCATTCCTTTATTTCAATGCACTGGTATTTATTTCTGGTTTGACTCTATCTACTGTTATTCTTTTTAAGTTCTAATCCAGTATTCCATTTTTAATTTTAAAAGCAAATCTAAAAGGCAAGGCACAGTTGTGTGTATATGCATGCACATATAATTTAACCTGTGAACTCTAGAAACATTCATTTAAAGTGGAAGAGATTGAAACTACAGATTATATTATCACATAACAAGAGGTTTGTGCAAGTCAGTACCTGAGTATCCGTACAGTGAAGAACTCTGAAGTAACAAGTAAAATATCATGGCCTAGTGGACCAGTATGGTGGCAGAGTAACCAGCTTTTTGGAATCTTGAGAAGAAAGACTCTTTGCCACATGCAGGTATTTATCGAAATACTATATTAGAATAATTGGAATATAAATAATGGTTGATGCATGACCAGATGTTGATGATATATTTAAATGGATAGTGAATACTTATTTCTATGCTCTATAAGTTCAGTGAAATTCTTAATAAAGGCTGTAAATTGAAAGGTATAAAAGAAAATCATGTACAGATTTTATTCCTGCTAAAGATGGTTAAACAATTTTAAAATCTGTGGTTTAAAATTTAAGAATCCTGTATCTTCTTTATGTTTGGTTTCTATCACAAGCATAGAAGTTAAAAGGCATGGCTTCTCCACTTGTGTCTTTAAAAAACAACTTTATCATTTGTACAAGAATTTCTCAAAAGCCAAAATTAGGTATCAATAAAATATGTTAACACTTTACAGTGTTACAAGTAGAATTCAGGCTGCATGCCTTAAAACTGCATTTTTTACACTGTTTTCCTATTATTGTAGTTGTATTTTGTGATGCCACTATAATCCCACTAGCAGATGATATGTGCATATGACTTATCAGTATTTATATGTTAATGTAGTAAAATTTCATAAAATCCCAAAATAATAAAGATAGTTTTACACATTCCCTAAACCAGGCGTCAGCAAACCAAGACCCAGGAATTAAATCTTGCTTGCCAGGTTTGCCCATCCGCTAAAATATTTTTATTTTAAAATTGATTTTAATAATTTACAGAAGGATGACATGCTGGGACACATAGACTTTTGATTTTCAAATTATAGGATCCATAAATAAGTTGTATTGGCACTAAGCCATGTTAATTTGCTTATTCATGGTCTATGGGTACTTTCTGCTGTAAAGGTAGTGTTGGGTATCGTGGTGAAGATCTTTAGGGGAACGCAAAATACCCACATATTCATTGTCAGGCTTTGACAGAAATAATCTGCTGATTCCTGCTATGCCCAGAGAAGGCATCTGGAATACTGAATGGAGTGTTTATATTGAAATCAGTGTATGACTCAATTTGGCTTCATTTATAGACATCATATACATTATTCCTTCTGAATATCATCATCTACTTGGTAAACAAATAAAAATAAAGTTGTGTGAAAAAAACTTATTGTTTGAAATGTTTAGGACCAAACAATCTTATATAAAAGACGTAAATTCTTAAGAAAAAATAATAAATGAACAAATTAAATCACATTTTTAAGTCATGATTTCAAGGTTCCTCAGAAAATGCCAGACAGTAAAGGACAGATCTAAAAATCCTTATAGCAAATTTCTAGTTTCCCAATTTCTGGGATATAGTACTTCATATAGTGTTTGAGATTCTATGATTATTATAGAAGAGACAATGTACAGATTTACTTATCAGAAAAAACAGGGGAGGAAAGATTTTAAAATAAGAAACCAGTCAAGAAGTAAAAAATAAAAAGAATGGCTGGCAAGCAATTTAAGCATTTTTTTTTCTTTTCCATGTATAGGGAGCTACATAGTCTGCTGGTGTAGAAACCTGATAGAAATTTAGTTTTCATTTAGCGGGCTGATTCCCATATCTGTGTCAGATAAAATCATAGCACTTATTATTGTTACCATGGATACCATGAAGATACTGCCATCCACTAAACAGTATTAGAGGAAGACAACATAATTTTCTGGAACTAGTCCTGTTTTGCCTTCATAAGTTGCTTTCAACCATCCTGGTTCCACTGATGGGTACACTGACAAAAAATAAAAAACAAATGTCATTCATTCAACATTAGCCTCAAATAATTATGTACACAAATGGGTAAAAATCCACATCAGATTGCATATATACACTCAAGTTGTCAAAACAGTGTCATAGCATCTTTAAGGCTGGAAATGTCCTTTTCCATTCATGTAACCAATCTCTCGTCCTCCCCAATCCCTCCTATCCTTCCATCTTTCCTATCCCCCCATCCCTTCTTCCTTCTGCCTCTCTCATATATACAGGAGCAAACTGGGCTGCAGAGGAAGTTGATGCATTCACCTGTACAGGTTATGAGAGGCAGAGCTGGGACTAGATTCTGAGTCTCCTGGCTTCTATTTTAGCTTCTTATCCCTACACTATTCCTTCATCTTCCCCAAGATAATGAACTTTAGTGAAGGGGAATACTTACCATTAGAAAATATCGCCCCTTGTGGGAAGGAAAGCTCATGGCTGTGCTCTGCTTTACATGAGTACATGGCTTTGGCTTGGCTGAAAGGGGAAAAAGCAATTTATAAAATCCATAACACTCAACTCAAGTACATTTATACTTCAAATTATTTTTAAAATGATATTAGTTTTTAGTTGTATGATATTGGAGTATAATATACATAAAACACATATGTAAGCATACATAAGAGCATTTTCCACAAACTGAATACACTTGTGTCACCTAATCAAGAAATCAAATATTAAGAGCACACCAAAAACTCTTCTTGTACTTTCAGGAAATGTCCCCATGGATAATTAACCTGGCTTATAACAGCACAAATTGGTTTTAAATACTATTATAGAACAGTACGCTGGCAAACAGGCCATTTTTACACTTATACAGAAGTTCATACGTACCCTAAAGCTTTTTTTTCTACTTCTTTCCAGATTATCAGAGGTGAGACCACAAAATTTAAGGTCTACAGAGTACAGTAAATAAATTAAGTGGCCATGATACATGAAAAAATGCTAGGATAAATTGATGATAAATGACAACCAACAATAGCCTCATTGTCAGGGAGATGATGAGGACAGATGGAGGCTTTGCAAAACAGAGCCTATAACATTTCCTAAAGTGGGAAGCCAACACTCAGGTCCCACCATCTCTTGCCATATGAAAATTCAGACTCCATGTAACCAGATACTATAGTTTCTTAAGAGAAGCCAGAATTTCAGAGATTTATAAGAGATCTATTTTAAAATATTTGAGCCTACACTAAAAAGCCATCAACTCATCAAGTCACTGAAGAGTCACCTTTATTCTTCAACATCCAATTACCTTGATACAATGTACAAGTTATCCTGACTTCACCTACTTCTCACCATCTCTATCACAACCAGAGTCCAAGCTAAAATCATTTCTAGTGTGGCTCACAGAATGGCTTCCCAGCTTTCTAATTCCTCTAGGCTTCCTATTTTGTTTCCTCACAATACATTCTACACAGAGAAGCTCTGGGGCAGTTTGAAAAAGGTTCTGATGATCATGTGACAACCACATTATTTCTTCAAACGCAACCTTTCTTTTTTTTTTTTTTTTTTTTTTTTTTTTTCACTGGAAAATAAATTTATTTTCTTAAGGCATACTACTGCTATGTCAGGAATTTGTTTTGGTTGAGGTTATAGGCAAGTTCAACAAACACTTTTGTACTGTAACACTCTATGCATTTACTACTCAACTCCTTAACACTTACCTCTAAGTGAGGTAATGACTTTAATTGCTTATAGTTAATTACTTTTTTTTTTTTTTATAAATTAATTTTTATTGGTGTTCAATTTACCAACATACAGAATAACACCCAGTGCTCATCCCGTCAAGTGTCCCCCTCCGTGCCCGTCACCCATTCACCCCCACCCCCGCCCTCCTCCCCTTCCACCACCCCTAGTTCATTTCCCAGAGTTAGAAGTCTTTATGTTCTGTGTCCCTTTCTGATATCTCCCACACATTTCTTCTCCCTTCCCTTATATTCCCCTTCACTATTATTCATATTCCCCAAATGAGTGAGAACATACACTGTTTGTCCTTCTCCGATTGACTTACTTCACTCAGCATAATACCCTCCAGTTCCATCCACGTTGAAGCAAATGGTGGGTATTTGTTGTTTCTAATGGCTGAGTAATATTCCATTGTATACATAAACCACATCTTCTTTATCCATTCATCTTTCGATGGGCACCGAGGCTCCTTCCACAGTTTGGCTATTGTGGACATGGCTGCTAGAAACATCGGGGTGCAGGTGCCCCGGCGTTTCATTGCATCTGAATCTTCGGGGTAAATCCCTAACAGTGCAATTGCTGGGTCATAGGGCAGGTCTATTTTTAATTCTTTGAGGAACCTCCACACAGTTTTCCAGAGTGGCTGCACCAGTTCACATTCCCACCAACAGTGTAAGAGGGTTCCCTTTTCTCCGCATCCTCTCCAACATTTGTTGTTTCCTGCCTTATTAATTTTCCCCATTCTCACTGGTGTGAGGTGGTATCTCATTGTGGTTTTGATTTGTATTTCCCTGATGGCAAGTGATGCAGAGCATTTTCTCATGTGCATGTTGGCCATGTCTATGTCTTCCTCTGTGAGATTTCTCTTCATGTCTTTTGCCCATTTCATGATTGGATTGTTTGTTTCTTTGGTGTTGAGTTTAATAAGTTCTTTATAGATTTTGGAAACTAGCCCTTTATCTGATATGTTATTTGCAAATATCTTCTCCCATTCTGTAGGTTGTCTTTGAGTTTTGTTGACTGTATCCTTTGCTGTGCAAAAGCTTCTTATCTTGATGAAGTCCCAATAGTTCATTTTTGCTTTTGTTTCTTTTGTTTTCGTGGATGTATCTTGCAAGAAGTTACTGTGGCCAAGTTCAAAAAGGGTGTTGCCTGTGTTCTCCTCTAGGATTTTGATGGAGTCTTGTCTCACATTTAAATCTTTCATCCATTTTGAGTTTATCTTTGTGTATGGTGCAAGAGAGTGGTCTAGTTTCATTCTTCTGCATGTGGATGACCAATTTTCCCAGCACCATTTATTGAAGAGACTGTCTTTCTTCCAGTGGATCGTCTTTCCTCCTTTGTCGAATATTAGTTGACCATAAAGTTCAGGGTCCATTTCTGGATTCTCTATTCTGTTCCATTGGTCTATGTGTCTGTTTTTGTGCCAGTACCACACTGTCTTGATGACCACAGCTTTGTAGTACAACCTGAAATCTGGCATTGTGATGCCCCCAGCTATGGTTTTCTTTTTTAAAATTCCCCTGGCTATTCGGGGTCTTTTCTGATTCCACACAAATCTTAAAATAATTTGTTCTAAGTCTCTGAAAAAAGTCCATGGTATTTTGATAGGGATTGCATTGAACGTGTAAATTGCCCTGGGTAGCATTGACATTTTCACAATATTAATTCTGCCAATCCATGAGCATGGAATATTTTTCCATCTCTTTGTGTCTTCCTCAATTTCTTTCAGAAGTGTTCTATAGTTTTTAGGGTATAGATCCTTTACCTCTTTGGTTAGGTTTATTCCTAGGTATCTTATGCTTTTGGGTGCAATTGTAAATGGGATTGACTCCTTAATTTCTCTTTCTTCAGTCTCATTGTTAGTGTATAGGAATGCCATTGATTTCTGGGCATTGATTTTGTATCCTGCCACGCTACCAAATTGCTGTATGAGTTCTAGCAATCTTGGGGTGGAGGCTTTTGGGTTTTCTATGTAGAGTATCATGTCATCGGCGAAGAGGGAGAGTTTGACTTCTTCTTTGCCAATTTGAATGCCTTTAATGTCTTTTTGTTGTCTGATTGCTGAGGCTAGGACTTCCAATACTATGTTGAATAGCAGTGGTGAGAGTGGACATCCCTGTCTGGTTCCTGATCTTAGGGGAAAGGCTCCCAGTGCTTCCCCATTGAGAATGATATTTGCTGTGGGCTTTTCGTAGATGGCTTTTAAGATGTCGAGGAAAGTTCCCTCTATCCCTACACTCTGAAGAGTTTTGATCAGGAATGGATGCTGTATTTTGTCAAATGCTTTCTCTGCATCTAATGAGAGGATCATATGGTTCTTGGTTTTTCTCTTGCTGATATGATGAATCACATTGATTGTTTTACGAGTGTTGAACCAGCCTTGCATCCCGGGGATAAATCCTACTTGGTCATGGTGAATAATTTTCTTAATGTGTTGTTGGATCCTATTGGCTAGTATCTTGTTGAGAATTTTTGCATCCATGTTCATCAGGGATATTGGTCTGTAATTCTCCTTTTTGGTGGGGTCTTTGTCTGGTTTTGGAATTAAGGTGATGCTGGCCTCATAGAATGAGTTTGGAAGTACTCCATCTCTTTCTATCTTTCCAAACAGCTTTAGTAGAATAGGTATGATTTCTTCTTTAAACGTTTGATAGAATTCCCCTGGGAAGCCATCTGGCCCTGGACTCTTGTGTCTTGGGAGGTTTTTGATGACTGCTTCAATTTCCTCCCTGGTTATTGGCCTGTTCAGGTTTTCTATTTCTTCCTGCTCCAGTTTTGGTAGTTTGTGGCTTTCCAGGAATGCGTCCATTTCTTCTAGATTGCCTAATTTATTGGCGTAGAGCTGTTCATAATATGTTTTTAAAATCGTTTGTATTTCCTTGGTGTTGGTAGTGATCTCTCCTTTCTCATTCATGATTTTATTAATTTGAGTCTTCTCTCTCTTCTTTTTAATAAGGTTGGCTAATGGTTTATCTATCTTATTAATTCTTTCAAAGAACCAACTCCTGGTTCTATTGATCTGTTCCACAGTTCTTCTGGTCTCAATTTCAAACGCAACCTTTCACCTCGTTTCCAATTCTAGCCTCCACACTACGCACAAACAGGTACCTGTCAGTATCTGTACCTGCCTCTGCTCACCTACTATACTCCAGCCACACTGGCCTGCTTTAACCTCTTCAAACATGCCAAACTCAATCCTACCTCAGGACTATCAGAGCTTTGCCCCGAGATGTTTTCCTCTTTATCTTCACATGGCTGTGTACTTCTAGTTCACCTTAAATTTCCTAAGCTTTGCTAAAGGTTTGGTCTTCCTGACCACACATCCAAAATAGGTGCCGAGGCAAGTATCATACTCACCTGTTTTAAGTCTGAATGGTATTTAGTAGCTGGTATTCTGTTGTTACTATTGATATTTCTATTTCTATAATTCTCTCTCCCCAATTAGAATGTGAGCTCCATGAATGATGCTTGATGCTTAGTAACTCAGTAAGTATTTGCTGAATCAATGAATGGAAAAAAAGGTAAGATGCTCTGCGGTCTGTTTTCTACATGATGAGGACTTTTAAGACTGAAGGTGCCCTGTCTTTCCTCCCTGAGGTCTCAGTACTTATTCCCTGCAAAGAAGCATCAGCAAGCAGTATTTGCTATCTACAGCTTTCTCAAAGAGCAGTGTAACATTATTATTTAATTTCCCTGTTGGAACTAGATGCTGGGTCTTATTCCCTACCCTTTCAGAACGAGAGTAGCTCATTTATAATGGAGTTGTCAAACAGATATCTGAAAAT